GATTGAAGTATAATGTGAGGAATCCAGTGTTTTTCTTTCTTTTATGGTCCAGAAAAAATTTCAATCTCGATGACGTTTGGCATGGTGTGTATAAAAACACATCTTGTATCATTCATTAATTTTGTTTTCATGGTAAATAAACAAATCTGGTCTTCCATACAAAAGAACGTATGTCACGACATCCTGTTGTCTTTCAAACACATAACGTGGTCCACTTGTGAACGTTGCTGGCAAAACAACTTTCTCTCCTATATTTCTTAGATCCATGTCTGCTGAAAAAAACAAAAACAAACAGCGCCTCGAAGCTCTCACTCTGTAGTTGTCGGCTTTCGACGAACCCTGCTCTCGCCTGAGAAACTGCAACCTTTCACTTCCAATTTTTGCATAGATCTCCACAATAAAATGTTGAAGCAAACGTCTGGCTAAGAGAAGATAGTTTCCATGTCTTGTGAAAAGATAGAATTTATAGAACTGCTGTTGGGTCACATTTTTTGTTCATTTTCACATGGAGACTCCATCTGTCATTTCCTGTTGGGAATAGTACAGACTTCAACAAAAGTTAAGGACCACTTGCAAACACTCTGAGTGGTCTTCTTGGGTCGACCTGCACATGGGCGTTTATGGACTGATCCAGTAGCTTGATGGCGCTGCCTCAAGCGGACAATGACAGAGTGTGGCACTGCAAACTTTCTGGCAACTTCTCAGGCTCCAACTCCATCCTGCAGCCATGCCATAGCTCAGCTTTCGTCTTGGTGACACTTTGATGCGGTACTGGTATTTTGTGCAAACGGCGGTTTAAATTGCCACAAAACTGAGAACAGTTCGAGACCGTACGTCTGTTTATGACGTGCACCAGAAATTTTAATTGATGAATGTCCGTGGTGTCGCACACAAGTCCATAAAAAACAGCAAATTTGGCTAAAATTCCCCAGGATGCATTGCAGTACGCACTAGTAACCGGTTATCAGTTTCAGAGCAAAAACATTTGAAACCTTCCTTGCTGTCTTTTTTTCGGATTTTTAAAAAATCAGGGCTGTCTGTCAAGGTTGTCCTTAATTCATGTTGAAATCTGTAGTAAGGGATATTGTAGTGGATCTTATGCTGGGTGCAATTCGCTGATTTGTTGTAAACTATTACTCTAATGTAACAGATTAGAATATCACGATGCCCAACTGGTTCATTTGGCATAAGAATAGCAACTTCTTTACAGGACGGTGCATTGTATCGTCTCTCGTGCTCACGGAGTGGTCTAGCATTATCGTGAACTGATATGTTGAGAATTTGAAGTCCAATTTCAGTTGCATATTGGTATGCAGTCTTTATTTCTTTGATGTATTTATTGTTGTGTGGTAGTAGACTGTCTTGTAACATATTGATTACATTGCGGTTAAGACAGCAGTCATGTCTCTATGTCATTCTTGATTTTATTTGGTCCTGCGAGTCTAAAAAATAAACCTACAAAAACTGTTCATTTTCGTGTTCTGTTGGAAGTAATAATGAGTGATAAACCTACCCGAGCACACGTAAATTTGGTTTCCAGCCTTGCAAATTGATCTTTTGACATCCAAAAGATGTCATTTGACATGAACAATTAGACTTTCTAATGTTGCTTAAAAATGCTCCGAGTCTGGGGAATTACTCATGAACAGATCTTTAATTTCTGGTAGAAGAGGTGGGTATGGCTCCAGTTTATGTTCCCCATTCCCACAGCAAATACTTTTTGTTTCTCCTTGAAAGTTTGTAGCATTACAATGATTGCACACATCTGTCATTTGTCCAATAGAGCAAGTACTGTTAAGACTTAGATCAGCATCATTGTAGGTAAAGGCTGGTGGATTTCTACCAAGCGTCTCAGTATCAGGTTGATCTTCTTTTTCCTCTTCGTTTACTTCATGTTTTTCTTCTCCCTCTGTATTTTCAGTGTTCACACCTGATCTAGATCCATTCTGCTTTTGCCTCTTACTCTTAGCCACAGGTGCCATTCGTCCAATGGCTCGCCGTTTGGGTGGCATAGTGATTTTATTCTCATCTAGATCTAGATAGATCTAACACCCCCCCCCCCCCAAACCACCACACACACACACCTGATTTTCTGTCTCCGTCTCTTAGCCACAGGACCACAGCACAGCCTCTAAATTAAAATCGATCAGTCACTTACTCACAGCACAGGTGCTAATCATTATTAAACGTGCCGTTTGGTGGCATAGTATCGATAGATCTGTCCCTAGATCTGTCACAAAGATACATCTTCTAAGTCTCATTACCACAGAAAAGTAACTCTCTCTAAGCGATCCACGATATCTCAACTGTAGGCGCCCAAAAAAGATTTGTTTATTTCCGGCGGAAGAGCAATTTTTTATATTTTGGAAAACGAAATGTGTCTTGAACACTGCATTGAAATGACGAACCGGAAAATCGTAAACGACCGATAGTGTTTTCTTTTTTTTTCTATTTTTTTAAAAGGCAAATACAAGCACTTACTGAATGGATATAAACCTAGCTTGGTCTTTGAACTACCTTCAGCAAATTTTTCATGGTTCCACGCTCCGTAGCTTTTCAGCTATAGAAAACAACCACCCACATGTACACAATCCTATATATATATATATAAAATATATAAAAATATATATAAATGTATGCATGGGTATAGTATCATGCATATATGATAATATATATATCGCTAGCCGCATGATTCCGTCGCTCAAGTGCCAACTTACAAATTTTACAGGAGAAGCAAAAAAAACTGTTTCATTTCTTTATGCTCGTACCTATGAATTTGAAATTCAGATAAACAGTAAAAAATGATTTAGGACAATGGTCTGTAACTAACTTTCTTACATAAGTTACTGGACATAGGGCAGGCGGTTGAGACTAACCCAAATCTGCGTGACAGTATGACGGCTTCTAGGCGTTTGAATCACTGTAATCAACGCCAGTAGGAGAGCGCCGATGGTCGTTTGCGATATCGACAAAAGCAGAAAATCATATTTGTTTTAAGAGTAATTTTAAAGCCATTCCATTCTTAGTTCAGTAATTTTTGCGCAAACAAAATAGTAAATGAAGTGACTAGCATTTTTAAGAAAGAAAGATAGTTAAAGTTTATTACTTGAAAGCAAAAAGTACAGACATGTAATTTGAAAATAATTTTTTTTATCCTTCCTAACTTGCGTTGTCTTTTATAAGTTAAGATATGAATGTTTAAAACAACCAAAATAAGTTAAAAAGACACTCTTTTATCAATCTTTCATGCAGACTTGTTTATTTTTAATGTAGTGAGTCATTTTGTTCGATTTTTGGGCAGTCATGAGGCTTGCACAGTAAAATTTCCGACACATCTTCATGCCTCCTCATTCTATTCTTTTCCTTAGTTTTACACACAACACTTCCTCTGACACTTTCAAAAACTGACGGTAGAAGTAGGACATGTCCAAATATGTTTTACCCCCAAGAAAGAAAATTATGTAACTGTTCCTGTGATGAATTATCTTGATTCATTGACTTCTGGTGTCTGAGATGATCATAGAAAGAATCAGGCTGTTGGGTTGCTGAAGGTGTTTATATTTTGACTGCTGAATTTTCAGGCGATCCAAACACATTGTGGTTGGCTCTTCTGGGACTGAACTGTTTTTCGTCACATGAAGTTGGAACAAAACGCAACTCATACGAGCGTTCAATTTGTGCTGATTGTTTCTGTTCGGTGTTTGATTAAATTCTCCAAAACCAAACATTTTAAATTAAAGTCGGATTTGATCACACAGTGTGCTAAAATTACACCTCCTTGAGCAAAAATCCTGGCCGACCCCGTCGTATGAAACGAATCAAATTATGTATCAACTGAATAATGTGCCCAGGGCATAAGCGCTCTGAGATTTCTAAGAATAAATTGTTATATTTTATTTCGCTTCAACCTTGAACCATGACTGGAGAAAGATCTCGTCTCGGTCGCTGTGCCCAGCCGTTGACTTTTCGGCTGTTGAAACAGTAACAAACAAGCGCTGTCTACCTGTTTATTGAAAGGGTCACTTTGTCCTTCAATTTTTTGTGGGTGAATCAGCGTTTCGTTTCTGAAGACTGAGGCAAAGGCGGATAAATAGCATGCTTTGACGTGGTTATGGCGATGTTAGGCAATACAATTAATTGTAAAAGCTTGGTCTTGAGGCACCTCTCGGCGCACAAGATGGCGCAAGAGAAAGGATAAAGTAAAGTAACGAAGAAACGGTTTTGGGGCAAGATTGTACATATCCCTGGTGAATTTAATTTATACTCTATTCTATGTTTCTCATGAACCAACTTAATACGCAATTTGATGATTCTGACCGACCAACTTTATACAAAATTTCATGTTTCTGATGAATCACTTTCATACGCTATTTCATGTTGAGGATATACGTATCTATTCTATGTGATGAACTTGCAATCTTATACGCTATTTCATGTCCCTGACGAAATAACTTTATAGGCTTTTCATCTGGTACACTAAATTATATATTTATTATATTCTATACGCCTCGTGTCTGTCTCTCTGTGTGTCTTTTTATGTGTCTTTCTGTCTGTCTGTCTGTCTGTCTGCCTGTCTGTCTGTCTGTCTGCCTGTCTGTCTGTCTGTCTGCCTGCCTGTCTGTCTGTCTGTCTGTCTGTCTGTCTGTCTGCCTGTCTGTCTGTCTGTCTGTCTGCCTGTCTGTCTGTCTGTCTGTCTGTCTGTCTGTCTATCTGTCTGTCTGTCTGTCTGTCCTTTACATTATAGGTGTAAAATCAGACTGACAAAGAATAAAACAAGGGGTGTTTGGCTTTGCAGTCAAATTACAAATGTTTATACGCCGGAGCCGCCCATGGATGGCAGCAAATAAAAATAGTGTACCTTTAGATCAAGTTGACATGAGCACGTTTATTTAAAGCGAGTTTCACTAGGATTCAATCAGAGCAGGAATTGGTGGCATATTGTCACGATTCTTAGAGCAGAGAGAGAGAGAGAGAGAGAGAGAGAGAGAGAGAGAGAGAGAGAGAGAGAGGGGGAGAGAGAGCGCGACCATCCAGGTAAGTGGTGATTATTGTAAAAGTCACTGTGATTAGAATATTATATACATGTACAATTGAATAAAGTAGTCTATTGAACAGATATTGTACAATAATATTTCTTCCGTGTTGCCTTAGATCACTTTTTGTCTATTTTTGACTGATTTATTTATATATTTCTTCTTATTATTATTATTGTTATTATTATTATTATTATTATTATTATTATTATTATTATTATTATTATTATTATTATTACCATTATTATTATTATTATTATTATTATTATTATTATTATTATTATTATTATTAGTAGTAGTAGTAGTAGTAGTAGTAGTAGTAGTAGTAGTAGTAGTAGTAGTAGTAGTAGTAGTAGTAGTAGTAGTAGTAGTAGTAGTAGTAGTAGTAGTAGTTGTAGTAGTAGTAGTAGTAGTAGTAGCAGTAGCAGTAATAGTAGTAGTAGCAGTAGTAGTAGTAGTAGTAGTAGTAGTAGTAGTAGTAGTAGTAGTAGTAGTAGTAGTAGTAGTAGTAGTAGTAGTAGTAGTAGTAGTAGTAGTAGTAGTAGTAGTAGTAGTAGTAGTAGTAGTAGTAGTAGTAGTAGTAGTAGTAGTAGTAGTAGTAGTAATACTATTATTATTTTTATGATGATTATTAATATTATTATTATTATTATTATTACTATTATCATTGTTATTGATACATATTTCTCCGTTTCTTCCTCCATCCTACAGGATTTCAGACCGCACGAAGTCGAACGAGCAACAGAATGACGTCAGTAAAGCCATTATCCATTCAAAATGTACTGGAGACAGCTCGTGTCCAGTTCTGCACTATGAAGACATATGTGAAGGACGGAATTCCCTACATTTTCAGCTGTTACGTCCCGGACTTTGAAGAAATGTTTCGTCAGATCTCTGACGCCAAGCTCAAGGATGATGACGTCTTTCTATGTGGCTTCGCTCGTTCGGGGAACCACTGGCTGTCTGACATACTGAGTATGATTCTCTCTCAAAAAGCGACATTCACGGAATATCACTTCCACAGTCGTTTTCCGGAATTAATGGGGCTTGACGTGAACAAAAAGTTTCAGGCCATCTCAGAACCGAGACTGTTTGTCAGCCATCTCCACCCCAGCAGACTGCCTCGGGCTATCCTGCAAAAACCAGTCAAGCTTGTGTACGTGTTGAGGAACCCCAAAGATGCTCTGGCTTCATGGTACAAAGTGGCCACATCTCTCAGAACTGACGGTGATTGCTTTTACGGCAGCTGGGATGAGTTTTTTGAGCTACAGGTTTTGTATCATCATCATCATCATCATCATCATCATCATCATCATCATCATCATCATCATCAACAACAACATTTAATCACTAACATCTGAAAATATTAACAGTTGTCCCCTATCCGTTAATATATTGAAGACAATCATAAAAGCAATATTTTTAAAATATACTTAATCTATAAATCAATTTCCTTCATTGAACCAACCATTGGCATTTAAAATATTTCACTTCTGAGTATTTCATGGGGTTAAAAATAAAGGATGATTTGCACTCTGAAGGAAACAAGTTGTAGTTCACAATAAGACAGATCCTTTTCAACATCCAATGCTCAGTAATCTTTACACATAGACACAGTTGATTCATGAACAATTACTGAGGTTTTTTGTACAGAATCTGTTTGCTCGTATTAAATAGTTTGTCTTTGGATAAGAGACTCTATGGAAATAAATTATAGTTTTTGATGAATTACGTTCTGACCTCCCAAATTCTTCTGCGAACGAGAAAAGCGTAAATTTATCCTTACCTTTAAAATACAAAGGTCTGTCTGACACATTTTGGGACGTTTTGGATTACTAAGACCATAAGGTCAGAAGCCCAATATTTAATTTGCTCTATCAAAATCGTACGATTATTGGAAGTCGTATCAAGGTATTAAAAATGTGTATTCGAGAAAGCTTGGCACGTTGTGAAACTCAAATTTAATTTACTTCAAATTTCTCAAAACTAGAGACCAAGCAGGTAGAATATCGTAATTCTAAGGTAGCGTTATATCTAGCACCATTAACATTGCTCAACATCAACAAGCCTCTATACAAGTACTTAATGACATGCCTAGACCTTCCGTGGGGCTAATGCGAAATTATCCCCTCAGAAATCCTCATTAAAAAAAAAGAAATTCGTGAGTCTGTTTGACATCCCCATTTACTAAAAGAAGAGCTAGACAGAAAGGGTGCGATGAGCTACAAAATTGGTCCACACGCTAAACGCTATTTCCAAAGGACTTACAGATATTTTTATTTGATATAAAACATGGATTCATTCACATTAAATTCCATCAAAAGAGCTGAATATCGTGTGTATAGAGGCTAAATGACACAGAAATGTCGTTTTGCGTCACATTTTCAAAGCAGAAAGAAACGTTTTATTGTCTTTTCAAATTACAGTGGTCCCTATCAGGTTGGTATCCTCCTATATAATACTACTAGGATTCTTGCATTTATCTGCATACGGTACTGCCTCACTTGGAAAATTTCGTTGATGAGCAGAGAGCAAACATTCGAACCCTCCCACAATAGTTTTCCACGATAATGCAATGCCCATAAAGCACGGACCACTACTCTGTGCATATAAGAGCAAGGGATAAAATTTTTCCCTAATACAGACTACAATCCTCAGCTCCCTGTGACTCTGATCCTATTCTGAAAGAAAAGCGTGCTAAACGAAAGTTTGAACGTATTCAGGACATAGTAAAACCTGTAAAGTCAGGGCCTCTAAGCACACATGAACTAATTGGCATTATCTGTGCCAGTCAGAAAAGATTGGAGGCTGGAATCCTGAATACAACAACGAGAATAATATTAGTTCTAGGGATTGTAATTTTTTTTAGATCCATAGCATTATATATTAAAAGATATTCACAACTTCAATAACGGTTTGACGCACCCTCGTAATACGACATTATTTAAAAAATATTATAAGAGTTAACTGTGTGCCTTTAGCCCGATCATTTGTTCTTAGGGCTTTGACGAGGCAAACACATACAGGACAGCCATCCTATACCTAGGTAAGCCCATACACTCTAAAATATCCACGCACATATTACTGAGTTAACTCAGTGCGGTTATCTTTAGATCGTAAACGACAATAACTCACAAATCTTCCATGTACCTTTCTCTTTTACAAATTCTCAATTTAAGTTTTACATCCTAATTGAGTTGACCAACCGCAGCGATATGACATTTTTTTTCGTTTCAGTTGACTGGCGAATTTAGTTGGGGTTCCTGGTTCCAGCACGTCCTAGCATGGGAGAAGTTTATGAAAGAAAACCCGAGTGTGCCAGTTTTTGTGGTCCAGTTTGAGAAGCTTAAAGAACACCCCAAGGACGTCATTGCTGATCTGTGTCATTTTCTGGGTCGACCAGACACTCTAACGGAGGAGATTGCAACAGCCACCTCGTTCGAGAACATGAAAATTGGGACGAAGGAGAGAGAAAAAGAGGCAGACCAGATCTTTTTGAAGGATGGAAAGACTATGGCAATGGTCAGTGGCAAAACGCAGGGATGGAAGAAAAGATTCACAGTAGACCAGAGTGAGAGGTTTAACAAGTTCTTTGAAGAGGCACTAACTGGTAACGGTCTAGCAGACCGGGTGAAAGATTACATTAATTAATACTAAACTTAATTTATTAGCAACCTAGCTATACCATGTCAATGTTGATGCTACTTTGATGTTCTGATTGTCTGGAATTTGTCAGACACACCTTAAGCCTCCCTTTGTGTTATACCGGATATAAAAAGTTTTAAAATAATTGGTTGGGGAGTATTCTGGAAAGGAGTAGGGATGATCATATCCAAAACAGCGTAAAAGACATTCAGGGGCTGGTAAGCGCACGGTCCAAGGATCATCATGGCCTCCTTTGGAACTAAAAAAGAACTCAAGGAAAGAAATGGTTGGAAGAAGGTCATAAGCATGAACATAATACAAGTGTATGCCCAAATCAATGATGCAGAAGTGGAGAATAAAGATGACTTCTAAAACCGCCTGCAGAGTGTGATAGACACACTTCCAGGTAAGGACATCAACATTTCCATGGGAAACCTAAATGCAAAGGCAGGTTCAGACAATCGTCAGTGTGAGGAAATCATGGGCAGACATGGATTAGGAGAGGCAAATGACAACAGAGACAGATTTCAAAACTTCTGTGCATTCAACAACTTGGTTATTGGAGGAACAATCTTCCCATGTAAAAGAATTCATAAGGCCACTTGGGTCTCCCCGGATGGAACAACGGAAAAACAGATTGATCATTTTTGCATATCCCGAAAGTTTAGACGCTCTCTGTAGGACTTCTAAGTCTTACGAAGAGCAGACGTCGCATCAGACCACCATTCGATCCTTGGAAAGATGAAACTGGAACTGAGAAGATGTGCAAAAGTGAAAACTGGAACTGAGAAGATGTGCAAAAGTGAAAACTGGAACTGAGAAGATGTGCAAAAGTGAAAACTGGAACTGAGAAGATGTGCAAAAGTGAAAACTGGAACTGAGAAGATGTGCAAAAGTGAAAACTGGAACTGAGAAGATGTGCAAAAGTGAAAACTGGAACTGAGAAGATGTGCAAAAATGAAAACTGGAAGCCGGAAAAAGTATGAAGCGAGCCTTATGAAAGACCCAGTTAAGAAGAATGGATTCAAGATGGAACTGAAGAACAGATTTCAAGCCCTTCAAGATCTGGATGAATGTGAAGTCAACGAACACTGGGATAAGATAAAAAAGAAGCAGTAAATGCAACTTGCAAGAGCATTCTAGGACCCAAAGTCAACACCAGAAAAGAATGGATTTTGCAGGACTCTTTAGACCAAAAAAAAAAGAGAACTGAAGGCCCAAGTCAACAACAGCCGTACCCGAACTGAGAAACTCGCAGCACAACAAGAGTACACCGAAATAAACTAGGAGGTAAAAAATTCCATCTAGAAGGACAATATTACCTACCTGAATTGCCTGGCCGAAAAGGCAGAGAAAACAGCAACAGGCGGACGCTTTGCGGATTGTACATCAGACAACAAAGACTCTTTCAGGTAGGTTCAGCTAGCCCACTCTACCAGTGAAAGACAAAGAGGGAAAGACTATCTTCAACCCAGAGGGGCAACTGAACCGATGGATCACTTTGATCAACTCTTGAACACCCCGCCTCCAGAAAACCTACCAGAAATTCTTCCAGCCAGAAATGACCTCCCAATCACTATGGAACCATCTTCGAGAGAGGAAATTGCTGCAGCTATAACAGCACTGAAGTCCCACAAAGTAGTGGGTCCCGACCATATACCACCGGAAGCCCTTAAGACAGATAAAGATACATCAGTGGGAATTCTCTATGCTCTACTCGAAAAAGGTTGGCTAGAGGAGGAAATACCATCAGACTGGAAGGAAGGCCACATAATATCAAGCTGCCAAAGAAAGGGGACCTCAACAATTGTAACAACTACAGAGGCATAACACTCCTGTCCAAACCTGGGAAAGTCTTTAACAGGATTCTCCTGGAGAGAATCAAGCTGGCAACAGATGAGAAGCTCAGAGGAAACGAGGCAGGATTCCGCAAGTTCCGATCATGTGTGGACCAAATCGCTACCCTCCGCATCATTGTTAAGCAATCACTTGAATGGAATTCACCCCTCGTGGTCAACTTCATTGATTATGAAAAGGCATTTGACAGTGTGGACAGGGAAACTCTGTGGAAACTCATGCGGCATTATGGAATACCTGCAAAAATCTTCAAGCTTGTGAAGACCACCTATGATGGAACAAACTGCCAAGTCTTCCACGAAGGACAACTCTCAGAACCATTCCAGGTACAGACAGGAGTGCGACTAGGATGCTTGCTCTCACCTTTTCTCTTCATACTGGCAATTGACTGGATCATGAAGGAAGCCACCAGAGGCAAGCGCAATGGAATACAGTGGATCTCTTGGCAGCAGCCGGACGACTTGGACTTCGCCGATGACCTTGCACTGCTCTCTCTCACACTTGCTCAGATACAAGAAAAGACCAAGGAACTCAACAGCCTATCAAGGAGTGTTGACCAACGTACACACCCAGACAAGTCGAAAGTAGTGAAGCTACGAAAAGTATGAATGATTGAATGATACTGCGCCATCATAATATTTATAAAACCCACTGAAAACTGTACATTCCAACTCACAGCTTACTTTTACCCTCTATGAAACTTAAAACATTGGGTGAAAAGACATTTATATAACATGGCCCCAAGGCTTGGAATGCATTGCCCAGAGCTTTGGAAGAGATCAAATGTATTGATTCTATCAAATGGCAGCTACTTTCATTGCCTTTGTTGGAATAATATTATATTGTAATATTTAGCCAGAAGACAATATGTATTGTTTATGTATCACTATTGCATTTGTAAAGCAGTCAGAATAGTAATAGGGGGCTCTCGTGGCCTAGAGGTTAAGGTGTTGGCCTCTCATTCAAAAGGTCCCGGGTTCGAATCCGTCTAGCGACCGAAAAATTTTCTTTTCTAAATATTATGTCTCCTTTCACCTCATTTCCTGCTCTCTAGCAATGTTCTGTCGTCTGCTTTTGTCTCCTCTTTCTGCCCCCACCCCCTCACCTCTTTTGCCCCTTCCTTTGGCCTCCTGATTCTTTCTGCAGCCTTTCTACTGCTACTCCTTCGCTTTTTCCTACTGCTGTCTTTCATCCACACCCCTGATCTTCTGGTAGGAAAGACCTACACCTAGCCTTCTCGGGCAAGGGCGAAAAATCTCGGAGGGCCCGTGTGCAAGTTGCGCACGTTAAAGATCCCTTGATGGTCTAAAATCGATAAGAGTAGGCTTAGTTCAAAATTCAAAATTTCCTACCAACTGAAAATATTAGGTGTGTCCCGCGCGCTCATATGACCTTATGCAGTTGCGAGCGTCGTAAAACACTTTACTAAAACAAACAAAAAACAGAATAGTAATAGTAGTAGTAGTGGTAGTAGCAGTATTGTTATTTGTTATTATTATTGTTATTATTATTATTATTATTATTATTATTATTATTATTATTATTATTATTATTATTATTATATTTATTATTATTATTGTTATTATTATTATTATTTTCATTATTATTATTATTATTATTATTATTATTATTATTATTACTTGTGTTATTATTATTATTATATTATCATTATGATTATCATCATCAATATCAATAACATTATCATTATCATTATGCTGTAGACCTAAATCCCCCAACTTCCATCTTTTTAAAAATACTGCTGTCCGGTAACACGTCTCATTTTCGGCACTTTTATGACCTGATTCTGTTCCAAGCGCCTTACAGCTCTTACTAAAACAAGACGTACTTGAAATAGTTCCCCAAGCATTAAGGTATATTGTTTATGATAAGATGAAATTCTCTATAAGGTTCAGGAAATGTGTTAAAAAATTAAAATTGTGTTCGTGTGTCAAAGGCACTGTTGCAGGTTTGGGGGTTCCAGCCGCGGGTCCGAATGGGTACCCAGCTATAGACAGTGAAAGATCTTGTCAGTTTGTTAACCAGCTGCTTGCACTGCATGCTTCCCGGGAAGCTGAGAATGTTTCTGGGTGTTCTATGGTCTGCAGGGGTAATAATATAGAGTAAAGCGCATAGAGCTTGCTTTCGAGTGGGGACATGCGCTATAAAAATGCTATTTATTATTTATTATCATAATTAAGTTTCCTTCTTTGCAAAATATGTATTTGAGTGGCATTGTGGTGAAATAAGGAGCTTGTGAAATTTATTAAATCAAAGATATCGGCATTTCCTCCAATGAGTTTTTTTTTAAATTGGAGTGGAGTGGGGGTGCTTAAGACATTTTACTTCCATTTAAATTACATTCCTCGTGAAATTTTACCTAAAAAAACGTTGACCAAAGAGCACATGAAAATGAAAATTTGCCGTTTCCAAGTACACCATAAAAGCTTTGGAAGTCAGCCAACTTTGGCGGCTATTGTCTAAGTAATTTTACTTAGATACCCTGTGACACCCCACCCCCACCCTTTTTCTATAGCAAATATACCGACTTTTTATTCAAGATAGATAGGTATTAAAACAAAACAACCAAAAACAAGACAAAACAACAAGCTTGAAGTTGATTCCAATAACTTTATAGGACTAAACATTGACGAGCGCCTGATTCCACTACGTCTTGACACATCTTAAGTCAGTATTCCTTTATATTGTAATAATGGATTTCTTAAAAAGAAATCAATAAATGAGTGTTTGAACAATGTGTATTTCTTTTTGTAGACGTTTTACACTTTCTCTATTATGCATAATACTAGCATCTGCGTTTGTTGCCATTTTTTTTTGTCCAAAAGTTGCCAAAAGTTGCCAAAAGTTGCCAAAAAGTTGCCATTAATTTTAAAGCTTTCAACTCTCAGTGACGACGTATATTATATATAGCAATATGCTGATAGAGAACAATCTAAAGCACCAGACTTTCTTGTGCTCTGTTTTAAGCATTTGGAATATCATTTGTAGTCACTCACAGGGTAAAAACGTGAAAAATACAGATTTCACAATAGTTACTTACTTACTTACTACCCATTACGCCATCTGGCATTTAGGGCAGCAATAAAGGATCTCCAGCTCTGTCTGTTTTGGGCCATCTTGGTCAGCGTCCCCCACTAATGATTCCAGGACTTCATTTAAGACTCTACTGTGCGTCTCCAGGTTACTTTCGGTCTGCCCCTTTTGCGACGTCCTTCGGACCTTCGGGTGTCCAGTGGAGGGCAGTCTTCACAATAGAATCTGGTTCTCTTCTCAGAACATGTCCAATCCATCTCCATCTTCTCCTTTTTATAATGGTGGTCATGTCCTCTTGCTTACATTTACGTAACAGATCTGCGTTGGAAATCTTGTCGGGCCAGAAGATTCTAAGGATTTGGCGTAAGCTGGTTGTATGAAAGGAAGATAGCTTGGCACTGTCATGATCACTCATCCTCCAACATTCAGCTCCGTATAGGAGTGTAGATAGTACACTGCTGTTATACAGCTTTAACTTGGTTTGTATACTAAACTGTCCTGATTTCCAGATGTTGATCATGCTTCTGTGTACAGATCTTGCCTTGCCGAGTCTCTTCATGATACCTTCACAATAGAATGAAACCAAAATTAGAACAGCACGGATAAATAACCACAAAAAAGGGCGCGTGTCCACCCATCCGAAGATAGGCTGTTTTAACCCTAAACGTGTGTAATTCAAGAAAAAGTAGGCCTACAGGATATTGTATGTCAATTATGGAATCACACACAACTGGGGCGTGCCAGTGTCAGTACATGTATTCGTTTTGGTGGAGACACGCTCTAACGTAATACATTTATATTTTTAAAAGTAAAAAGGTAGGAACAGCATTAAATTAAATGTGAGACGTGCTGTCAAAATGAGTTACTTCTCGCAATCCACAAATGGAGATATTGGCGAAAACTCAACACCTAGGTCAAATTAGTAGATCCTCTACTGATGCTCTTCTTTTTTAATGTATAACTTGCCTCTTACTATTTCATTCTTATAAATTCTAAAACCTCACTTATAAGCATGACGTTTCTATTTCCAAAGGCTTGAATCCGAGAAGTAACTCATTTTGTCAGCACACATCACAAATGGCATTACGATGTATAAACACCAAAAAAAGATATAGAAATCCTCAGAAAATGTTTTTGAAAAATTAACACATCAACAAATTAAAACACAACAAAAAGGGAAAAATAAAAGATAGACAGCAATATAAATAGTATGTAACGTACTTATATTCTCCGCATGAAAATAGATACACAGGGACATCTCAAAACTTACCAAAATACACATGTCTAATATGTTATGAAGTAGCTTTTTTTTGGTCTTTTTTGAAAAATGCAAAAATCGCGGCCGCGATTCTCGGACCAAAAAAAGCCCAAAATCGCGGCCACGATTCGCTATCTCGAAAAATGCTGTTTTGAGGAAATCGAAGTTACAGTTTTTTCCCCTTGTTCAGTTTATTTAAAAGACAAGGAGAGTTTTCTCTATAATCTAACAAATATACGCACCAATGACACCAATATTCTCCTATAGGTAGGGCAATGTCCACTTTTGGTGTAAGTCAAGACTTCAAGAAACTCCCGAAATCTGGGTTAGTCCGCTTGTCCTTAAAAGCAACCAATTAACAGATGAGAAAAGGGTTGGCCTGTTCACGGAAAGTATGTCATTGTAGTATAATAACCATAGACTTATATAACAGCATCCTAGATCTGCACTCAAACAAAATGACAATTTACCGTGGAGAGCAACATAGGAATTTGGACTCAATGAACGCCAATGAACGCCAAATAGAGGGAAAGGGGGGACAAGTGCTTCCCGTACATGACTATAGTGGGACTGGTGACTTTCCCTTCATTTTGGTTTTGGATAAACCTAGGCGATCATAAATCAGGCAGCGCAGCCCAAGAACTACACACCTTGCTTGTGGGCTGGCACACCGGCCGCTCAGGCTTCGGCCCACAGCAAGCAGTGACCTTCGTAATGATAATATAATGATTACAACGGCCACGGCTAGGCGGT